AGACAGACAGATGCGGCTACCCTGACCAGCGGTGACTGCTGTGGACGCGTATGCGATGTCGCCCTGATGAACAATGAGGTCGAGCGGCTTCTTCTTGTGATCCTCCTCCATCTGCTCGCACACCTGTGCACAGAAACCACAACACAGCACGCAGCCATGCGACAAGCCGTCAGCCCACACAGCTGTAGTTTGCACACACACACACACACACAGCACACAGTACACAAACAGCACACACACAGAGCACACACACCTTGTAGCCGAGCGGGATGTATGTGCCCATATCGCCAAAAGTGGCGATGCGCAGTGGCTTGTCGGCCGTGCGCTTGTTGCCAACAGTGGGCGGCGTCTGCACGGTGTAGATGGCGCTCCACCCGCCGTCGCGGTCGCCCACGTGATATGTGACGCGCGTGTTGGCGGGAAACTCCGGCATGTGCACCTTCGGGGTTTGCAGGAGGAAGAGAGGGGAGGTGTCATTTTTGGTGTAAGAAGGAGGATGTCAAGGCGTGAGTAGGGTTAAACCAACAAGACAGCACAGTAAAGTCAACCCCCACACAGCTCGACCATTCAACACAGTCAAACCACACACACACACACACACACACACACACACACACACACACACACACGCAGACACACACACACAGAGACACACACACACATACCTCGTGGATGACGCCCTTCCATCCGCCGGCGGTGTAAGTGTGCGTGGATCCCTGAATGGACTTGGAGAACGAGTGCGATCCGTCCGTGCTGTACTCAACCGTGGATGTCTTCGTTGGGACCTCCGTCACCCACATGATGGCCAGGCGGCTGTTGTTCAACAGCGACGTGTGGACTTCCACCGGCACGGTGCCTGCCGCGTCAGTCAGTGTGTGTGTGTGTGTGTGTGTGTGTGTGTGTGTGTGTGTGTGTGTGTGTGAGGGGGAGGGGTAGGGGTTGAGAACAGTGTTGCAGAATGCGACGGGCATGTGCACAAGCACATCAACATAAAGAAAACACACACACGCACACAAACACACACACACACACACACAAACACACACACGCACGCACACACACACGCACACACACACACACCGTCCAGGATTGGGCTGGAGAGAAGCTTGGACAGGGCGAGGACATGCTCTTGGGTGAAGGAGTGGTTGGTGCCTGCCGCTGTTGTGGCGCCATTTGCTGCAGCCCACAGCGCCACCTCCTCAGAGGAAATGACCTTGTCGGCGTTCAAGTCCACACGATCCAGCAGCTCAAACAGCTCGCCGCGGCCACTGTGCGCACTCACACCAGGCGCACTGCACACTGCAGCCACAAGCAACGCCGCACAACAGGCCGCAACAGCCCGCGCCACCACGCCACACGACAGCATCTCGCTTCTCGCTCGCTTGGGTGTTTTGTTTTGGTTTGGCTGGGGAAAATTTGAGGAAATCATCCACTAATTCTCCACAATCTCGGCATGCAGTTGTCAAAGATGACGATGAGCAGGATTCGCCTGTCTTTCTTGTTGCTCCTCGTGGCTGCTGCACTGCTTGCTGTTGCATTGGTGGATGGGGCCGTGATTCGGGAGGATGAGGCGGGAAACGTGTTTGTGAACACAACGTCCCCTTCACAGGCGGTGCTGGTGAATGGGGTGGATGTGAACGGGCTCATTGCCGGGCTGGAGCAGCGCATCGCCACCTTGCAGACGCTCGTCGACGTGTACCTCAACCGCACTGGCAATGGCAAAGGTGGCTTTGCAACTACAACGACAACAACTGCGGCAGCAACAACGACCATAGAGCCCCAGTGCACTCCTGACCAAGTGATGGACACGACAACCATCTCCGGGTTTGAGCCAGGCAACACGGGGCTGTGGTCTGGTGGCGTGTTGCACCCAGACACGGGCATCATCTTCGGCATCCCTTATGCGGCAAGCTCGGTGCTGGCCATCGATACGACGACGGACACGGCGGACAACACGTCCATGCTGGTATCTTCCGGAGACGCAAAGTGGTACGGCGGCGTGCTTGCTCAGACCGGCCTCATCTACGGCATCCCATACAGTGCAGAGAGCGTGCTGATCATCGACCCGCTCACGCAAACGGTGGACGAGACGACCATCACCGTCAGCTCCAACCCCGACCTTGAGGCCAAGTGGGTTGGCGGTGCCATGGCTGATGACGGGCGCATCTTTGCGATCCCACTCAACGCCGACCCGATTCTCATCATCGACCCAAGCGACAACACCACCTCAGAGATTTCTGGCCTGCTGGCTGGCGGGTCCAAGTGGCGCACGGGCGCCCTGTTCACAGATGGCCTCATCTACGCGCCGCCAAACGATGCGCAGAGCGTGCTTGTCATCGACCCCAGCGATGACTCATACCAGACGGTCTCAGTGTCGGGCAGCTCCGGGCGGGCGTGGTCGGGCGCGGTGGTCCACAACGGCTTCATCTACGCCATGCCCTTTGCAGCGGAGGGCATCCTGCGCATCTCGCCGGATGGGGCGTCAACTGAGACGGCCTTT